GAGAGGAAAAAATATAATTTTGGCTCTTCTTACAAGAAAGAATTTATCTGTGTCAAGTCTCAAAGGTTAACAGATGGCCCAGTTTGACAGGAGAGAGTCATATTTGCAGAGAAGTGTTTACCTACTTTTGTTGTCTTATTAAATAACTATATTGATATGACTATGGTTTAGAGAAACAGCAATCTTCCTAGGAAGGCCGGTCCTTGTCCTGGCACCAATGGAACTCTGTCAGCCTTTGTTGCCCCATACATTATGGAACATTAAAGCACAGGCTATCAGGTCAAACAATGGCCCTAAGACAGTGGTTGTTAATCCTAGCTGCAAGTTAGAATCATCTGACGAGATTTTTCAAGAAGATACTATGCTCAAGTCCCAGTGCAGGCACATTAAATCAAAATATCTGAGGATGGGGCCCGGTTATTGCTGTTTTCTTAAAAGTGCTCTAGATAATCTTAGCATGCAACAGGGTTGAGAATCACTGTCACAGGACTAAAGACACCAACGATTTTGGTGATGTATTTGCTCCTTTCCTGAACTGGTTTCTACTTGCCTCCTAAAACAACCTTTGCTGGCCTCCTGAACCTTGACTTGGCTCTCATATCTGGACCTAGAATGTACTCACCTTTTCTCCCTACCTTCAAAACTTTAGACTCTAATTCCTTGCCTGGAACAATATGTTTTATAAAACAATTAGAGAGGATTGTCAACTAGGAACAAATAAGGACATTAAAACAAGAATTTACAGCTAACACCTGGTTCTCCTATCATTTCATAAAGGCCATGCTTACATCAAAGTATAAAGACATGAACATAGATTAAAAGGTAGTTCTTCATACTGACTATAGCTCACTTTATGAAAAACATTATTTTCCTCATTTTGCTGCCAACCAATAAAAGCTATGTCATGTACTAAGATCAGTATACAACCTGAATTCAAAATTGCTGATTTAAGTATTAACTATCTCAACCTGCAATAAACAGCCACACTTCTCTTAGCTGATAGATACCTACAGCTGCTTCCCGTGGATAAGCAAGTTCCACAGCTGCCCTCTGTTAGAAATGATGACAGGTAGTGTGGTATAGAGCAGTGGTTCTCAAACTTTTTGGTCTTAGCAGTTTACATTCTTAAAATTAGAGCTTTTGCTTATGTAAATTATATCTGCTGATACCATATTAAGATTAAAAGTGAAAAAATTTTAAAGCATTAATTTATTAATAATATACCCATTACACCTTAACATATTTTTTAAATAAAAAATTTAGTGTGAAGAGTGGAATTGTTTTATATTTTTGCAAAGTTCTTTACTTTCTGGCTTAAAAGTATTCATCTGGATTGAATGGAGAAGTATTTTGTAGTTGGAATAAATTTGTAAATGATCACTCCCCTCAACAACTATTTGGCTACTCCCATGGATTTTTAATTATTTCATCATCTTGGGTGATCTTCTCAAAATACATTTCAGCTTATCTATATCCTGCAAATTGTAGTGCTCAAAATAAAATATAATCTCCTTAGGTTTGTGGTTAGATCAGTGTTGAAGAGAGTTGTAATATTTCTCAAAGTAAAGTCAGGGAAATACAGGCGTCCCTCACTTTATTGCACTTGACCGATGTTGTGTGTTTTACAAATTGAGGCAAGACCCTCCACCAGCAAAAAGATTATGACTTGCTTTACTGCAATGGTCTGGAACTGAACCTGCAATATCTCTGAGATGTGTGTGTACTCTCCAAAGCAGATCTCAAATCCATCCAATTTCTCCATCCCAGATGATCACCATCCCCTAACATGTTAAACTTTTTAAACTTAAGTTTCATCACTTTATTAAAGTTTTCTCATTTGCACGTAGAAAATCTAAATTTCTCACCACAACCTACCAGGTACTGTATGAATAGAATCCTGCCTTTCTAACCTTTCCCTATGCTCCTTTCTTTCCTTGCTCAGAATGCTGCACACCACCCTGGGCATCTCTTTCTTTAAATGACCAAACCTTTTCTTGTCACACATACTGCCACCTCTGGCTGGAGGTCTCTCTCTCCTCACTACTCTGATTAATGTCTACTTAGCCTTCAGGTCTCAGCTTAATTATTACTTTCTGAGAAGCCGTTCCCTGAAAACCTGCCAACCTCCAGCTAAATTAGACCCTGGTTATGAGTTCGTACTCCTTCACAGCGCTTATCACAATTCGTGACTATGTATTTATTTGTGATAATTTAATTGGTATTTCTCTGTTCCACTAGATAGGAACTGTGTCTATTCTGTTCAAAACTATATCCTCAGGGCCTAAGAGGTCTGGCATACCCTACACCAATAATTTTTTGAAAAAAAATGTGTAAATTAATGCCAAAGCCAATACTTCATAAAATACCATAGATATGTAATTTTTTATTCATACTCATAGACTACTCCTATTCTAGAAACCTTTTGTGACAAGAGATAAATCCTAGAAACAGTACAGGACAACTTTTTGCTGAAAATCTAGACATAATGTAACAAAAAACAGAAAAGGTTTCCTGGAGTCTCTGGCATATAAAGAAGAAAAGAACAAAAAAGAAGGAGAGTACACAAAAAGGTGGAAAAGGAAAACGTGATTAATTCAGGAATGTTTATTTCCATAGTCACCTTTCTGTAGATACTCATTAGAAATCTAAAAGCGTCTGATTTTGGTTTTCTTAAAGCATGGAGTAGGAGGGTGTAAGAGTGTGTGAGAATTTATAGCGCCCTTCTCATAATAATTTTCTTTAAGGTAGCACCCATCACTGTTTTTTAAAATAGTTCTCATACCTTTTAGAAGCATCTTTTTGTTTCAAGGTACTTGTCTGTTTAGTACCTAAAATTAAAAGCAAACAAAACAAAAACACAGTAGGTCAAGTTCTACCCAAATACACTAGACAGGACAGATTCCTATCCAAATAAACTATACCATCTTTTCTTTTCCACATAACCCTGTGTGTAAATCAAGTGAAACTGAATGGGAATCCAATTTGTTTTTCTAAGTTAATTACTCCCAAATTGTTCCTGGTTAACATGTATCGCTTTCGGGGTTGAATTTTCTCTTGTAACACATTTGCTGAGTTAAGCACTCCTGAAAATCTGAGATCTGGGTACTTTTAGGGGTAACCTCTCTCTGTCCCCCAAATACTCCCGGGTGAGAAGGGAGGAGGTTCCCCAATACCTCAGGGAAGCGGGGCACCACAGCCGCAGTACCCCTGGAAGGAGGACCAGAGCTAGGTCCAAGGGGAGCTGCCCGCCTGCCCCGCTCACTTGCCCCCAGCCCTAGGCTCCCAGGGCTCCACCGCCCTTTCTCTCACAAACGGGAGCACAGCCCATTCTGGGGACAGTCCTGGAACGCTAGGGCAAAGAGTTGGGGGTCCGCCCGCTGGCCTTTCCCAGAGGGCCGAGGACAGCGGTGGGACGCTCTCGGCCTTCCCTGCCCCGAAGACCTCCTGCCCTGCGGCCGCCTTTCGGGGGCGCCCCGCGCGCTGGGTCTGGAACTCTGCAGGGGCCCGTTCTCAGGGTACAAGCGTGGGAAGAGGCCCTTCTACCTACCTGCGGCCTTTCGGGAGGCGCGGGGGCCCCGGGCCTGGCGGAGCGCCGAGGGCAGCCCGGCGAGCTCAGCCATGGGCCGCGTCGTCTGACGGTCGGCGCCGACCCGGGCGTCCTC